ATTCTAAACAAAGTTATAGCCTGTATCAATTGGTTCGACTACAAACGCTTATAACTTGCTTTAAATCTAACTGATTGTGATGATCTATAGCTCAAAACATAGCCAATCTCAAGAGCTTTCGAATGAACTAAAGCATGCTGAAAAAGCATAATTCTAAAGAAAGTTATAGCCTAAATAATCGCTTCGACTACAAATCACTGTAACTTTCTTTAGAATTCATATTTTTCAGCATGCTTTAGCTCATTCGAAAGCTCTTGAAATGTACACCCTAGAAAGCTAGAAAGATTTAAAAAAAAACTTTTTTAAGACTTCTGTACTTGTTAAAAACGATGATAGTATATTTTCTAAAAGGCTAAATTCAAATATTAAAGCAAATATCAAAGCTCTAAGCTATTCTAAATGTTTTTTAAAGCTACTATAAACATTTACGATATCTATTTTCTCAAAAATTCTTTATAAACATTTAAAATTGAATTTAAAACCGTTTAAAACCTTTAAAACTTACTTTAAAACCCTTTAAAAACCTTTACATTTACTTTAAAACCCTTTAAAACCTTTAAAAATTACTTTAAAACCGTTTAAACCCTTTAAAACTTACTTTAAAACCGTTTAAAACCGTTACATTTAATTTAAAACCGTTTAAAACCTTTAAAACTTACTTTAAAACCCTTTAAAAACCTTTACATTTACTTTAAAACCGTTTAAAACCTTTACATTTAATTTAAAACCGTTTAAAACCTTTACATTTATTTTAAAACTCAAATTTCTCCACCAGGAAATGCCAACTTTTCTACTTTGTCCAATAAAAATAAAAAAAAAGAAATGCTTGGGAAAAGCCTAGGAGAAATATATTTGAGGAAAAGTGAAAGAAAAAAAAAAAGAGGAATGGATGGGGACGAGTCGAATTAAATTACGCCCCAGCGCAATTACACGGAGCCGAGGACCCTGGGGAGTCTCTTCATAGAGAAGAGGGCCCAGAATGGCCCAGAATCGCCCGAGAATGCCCGAGAAACGAGCTAGAACCTTATAGAAAAAGGAGAAAGTTAGATATAGATGTTGATGAACAGAGATCGAACAGAGATATCAGCGTTACCCTGCGCATATCCTAGAGCTTGTAATATAAGAGGCTTGGGTAAGCCTAGAGTTTTACATTCGCCTCACTCAGAGAGAAACGAAAGTCATATGGAATGTCATATGGAATTTCGTATATAAGACGGGAGTATATAAGGCTGTTATGTAGAAGGCAATCGGTTATAAGGTGACCCTATATAAGGCGACCGTATATAATGCGACCGTATATAAGACGGTCGTATATAAGGCGACCGTATATAAGGCAGCCGTATATAAGGCGGCCGTATATAAGGCAGCCGCATAGAAGGCGATCGGTTATAAGGCGGCCGTATATAAGGCGGCCGTATATAAGGCAGCCGCATAGAAGGCAGCCGCATAGAAGGCGATCGGTTATAAGGCGGCCGTATATAAGGCGGCCGTATATAAGGCGGCCGTATATAAGGCGGCCGTATATAAGGCGGCCGTATATAAGGCGGCCGTATATAAGGCGGCCGTATATAAGGCGGCCGTATATAAGGCGGCCGTATATAAGGCGGCCGTATATAAGGCGGCCGTATATAAGGCGGCCGTATATAAGGCAGCCGCATAGAAGGCAGCCGCATAGAAGGCAGCCGCATAGAAGGCAGCCGCATAGAAGGCGATCGGTTATAAGGCGGCCGTATATAAGCCTGCCGTATATAAGCCTGCCGTATATAAGGCAGCTGTATATAAGACGGCAGTCCATAAGGCAGCCGTATATAAATCGTGATTTTTGCGCCATATTTTGCAATAATTTTGGCTAAAAGTACGCTAATTTTGTCCCAAGTGTGCGTTTTAAAAAACGCTCCCGTCTCTCGGTGAAAACGCTGCTGTCTCTTATATACGGTCAGCTGAACTCTAGTCAAGGGTTTTCTTCTAGAGCTCCCAACTAGAGTTGGCCATCAAAATTCCAATGTCTAACAGATTTGGAACTTTTTTCCTGCAAAAATGGCTCTTAAAAATCGTCGACTTTTTGAAAGAAACTAGAGAATAAACAGAGAAACTAGAGAAAGGCATAAACAAGAGCAGATTTAGTTATGCTAGATTATGGTTATAGCTAGATTTATAGGCTTGTCAATAGATCAAGATAAAACAAGGAAATTAAAGGAATTGGCGCAGGGAACAAGGAAAAGGAAAAAGCCTCGTTCTTATGTCAATTTTCGGGCAATTCAGCGAAATGAGGAATTGATGAGAGCGAGGAAAATGGAGAGGAGACAACCAGCTTTTATTTGAATTCACGTTTGATTGGCATGCGGGCGGAAAAAAAAAAAAGAGGGATTTCCTTAGCATATTTTCCGGGTCAAATCGAAATTTTTTGGAATTTTTCGGAATTTTATCTGTACTAAAGAAAATCTCGGAAATTTGGATGAAAATCGGAAGAGAATTTCTGGGAAAAGTGCTTTAAAATGCTTTAAAATGATTTAAAATGCTTTTAAATGCTTTGAAAGTGGTTTAAAATGCTTTAAAATGCTTTAAAATGCTTTAAAAGTGCTTTAAAAGGGCTTAAAAGTGTTTTCGAATGATTTAAAATGCTTTAAAAGTGTTTTTAAATGCTTTAAAATGCTTTAAAAGTGTTTTCAAATGATTTAAAATGCTTTAAATTGCTTTAAAATGCTTTAAAATGCTTTCAAAGTGGTTTAAAATGCTTTAAATTGCTTTAAAAGTGCTTTCAAAGTGCTCAAAAATGCTTTAAAGTGCTTTAAATTGCTTTAAAATGCTTTAAAAGTGCTTTAAAATGCTTTCAAAGTGCTTAAAAGTGCTTTCAAAGTGGTTTAAAATGCTTTAAATTGCTTTAAAAGTGCTTTCAAAGTGCTCTAAAATGCTTTAAAGTGCTTTAAATTGCTTTAAAATGATTTAAAATGCTTTCAAAGTGCTTAAAAGTGCTTTAAAATACTTTCAAAGTGCTTAAAAGTGTTTTAAAATGCGTTAAAAGTGCTTTAAACTACTTTAAAAGTGGCTCGAAATGCTTTAAAATGCTTTAAAATGCTTTAAAAGTGCTTTAAAATGGTTTAAAATGGTTTAAAATGCTTTCAAAGTGCTTTAAAAGTGGTTTAAAATGGTTTAAAATGCTTTAAATTGCTTTAAAAGTGCTTTCAAAGTGCTCTAAAATGCTTTAAAGTGCTTTAAAATGGTTTAAAATGCTTTAAAATGCTTTCAAAGTGCTTTAAAAGGGCTTAAAAGTGCTTTAAAATGCTTTCAAAGTGGTTTAAAATGCTTTAAATTGCTTTAAAGTTGACTATTTTAAACTTTAACGTTTAATACAGTCCAGAATGAGTCCAAAAGTCCAAAATGAGTCCAAAATGAGTCCAAAGGTGCAGAATGAGTCCAAAGGTCCAAAATGAGTCCAAAATGAGTCCAAAATGAGCTGATTCCTTTATCAATCTAGACATTCTGGCATTTATTCTGCCATTCTTCCCTCAGAATTCTTCGCGATTCATTATAGCGAATGAAAATTGAGTTAGGGTGGGGGAAAAGAAAAGCTGAAGGCATCGAGATGGATCGCCTTTTTGTTTTTTCTGTATTCCTGGAGACTTTACGTCATTCTCAAGTCCCTTCAGAGTAAATCTAGAGCTGAGAAATTGAAATTTTAACGTTTTTTTTAACGTTTTTTAACGTTTTTCAACAAAAAATCAACTAAAAAGTCTTCAATTTTCAAGAATTTTCAATTAATTTCAAAGTAATTTGCATTTAAAATGACTTTACTTGCTCTTTAGAAGCTGCTTTTAATTTGCATTTAAAAGCAGCTTCTAAAGAGCTAAAGATGTCCTTTTAGACTACAAATGGAAACTATAAACGCTTATAACTTGCTTTAAATCTATTTGATTGAGATGAGCTATAGCTCAAAAAATAGAGTATTTCAAGAGCTTTCGAATGAACTAAAGAACACTGAAAAAGCTTAATTCTAAACAAAGTTATAGCCTGTATCAATCGGTTCGACTACAAACGCTTGTAACTTTCTTCAAATCTATCTGATTAAGATGATCTATAGCTCAAAACATAGCCAATCTCAAGAGCTTTCGAATGAACTAAAGCATGCTGAAAAAGCATAATTCTAAAGAAAGTTATAGTAGTTTATAGCCTAAATCAATTGGTTCGACTACAAACGCTTATAACTTGCTTTAAATCTAACTGATTGTGATGATCTATAGCTCAAAAAATAGCCAATCTCAAGAGCTTTCGAATGAACTAAAACATGCTTAAAAAGCATGATTCTAAAGAAAGTTATAGCCTAAATAATCGCTTCGACTACAAATCACTGTAACTTTCTTTAGAATTCATATTTTTCAGCATGCTTTAGCTCATTCGAAAGCTCTTGAAAAGCTGAAGACATGAAAATGAATCGCCTTTTGTTTTTTCTGTATTCCTGGAGACTTTACATCATTCTCAAGTCCATTCAAACTAAATCTAGAGCTGAAAAATTGAAATTTTAACGTTTTTTAACGTTTTTCAACAAAAAATCAACTAAAAAGTCTTCAATTTGCAAGAATTTTCAAGAATTTTCAATCAAATTTAAAGTAAACTCAATTAATTTGCATTTAAAAGCTGAAAAAGCGGCTTTAAATTCATCGCTTCGACCACAAATCACTGTAACTTTCTTTAGAATTCATTTAAAAGCTTTAAAAGCTGAAAAAGCGGCTTTTAAAGAGTTAAATATGTCATTTTAAACTATTAAAAAGTCATTTAAAGTAAAGGAAAAAGGAAAAGGAAAAGTTTAAAAAGAAAAGAATTTTTGAAATTGAATTGAATTGAATTGAATTAAAGTGAAAAAGTTGAAAATCGTAGAAAAATCCCTTTTTTTGCACTCAATTCGTCGTTTTTGAATGATTTTTGATTGATTTTTATCGAATTCCGTGCGCCAGAAAGGATTTGTTTACGCCAAAATCTCAGCACAAAGTACCAGCATAGCCAACCTCAACGATTTCCTTTTTGATTGCGCACTGCCGGCTGGAGAGGCATCTGGACGATCGGTTGAAGCCCCAGAGCCACTCGGTTGATCTGAAATATTGAATGAGTGAGCTTTGAAAATCTTTTGCTTTGAAATCTTCATTAGACATTGACACTAAACTACAAATGGAAACTATAAACGCTTATAACTTGCTTTAAATCTATTTGATTGAGATGATCTATAGCTCAAAAAATAGCCAATCTCAAGAGCTTTCGAATGAACTAAAGCACACTGAAAAGGCATAATTCTAAACAAAGTTATAGCCTGAATCAATTGGTTCGACTACAACTTTCTTCAAGTCTAACTCTTCAAGACTATAACTTTCTTCAAGTCTAACTGATTGTGATGATCTATAGCTCAAAACATAGCCAATCTCAAGAGCTTTCGAATAAGCTAAAGCATGCTGAAAAAGCTTAATTCTAAATAAAGTTAGAGTAGTTTATAGCCTAAATCAATTGGTTCGACTATAAACTCTTCTAACTTTCTTCAAATCTATTTGATTAAGATGATCTATAGCTCAAAAAATAGCCAATCTCAAGAGCTTTCGAATGAGCTAAAGCATGCTAAAAAATATGAATTCTAAAGAAAGTTACAGTGATTTGTCGTCAAAGCGATTATTTAGGCTATAACTTTGTTTAGAATTATGCTTTTTCAGCATGCTTTAGCTCATTCGAAAGCTCTTGAGATTGGCTATTTTTTGAGCTATAGATCATCTTAATCAAATAGATTTGAAGAAAGTTATAAGCGTTTGTAGTCAAACCGATTGATACAGGCTATAACTTTGTTTAGAATTATGCTTTTTCAGTGTTCTTTAGTTCATTCAAAAGCTCTTGAAATGCTCTATTTTTCGCGCTATAGATCATCGCAATCAGATAGATTTAAAGCAAGTTAGAAGCGTTTTTAGTGTACTAGATCATCATTTTTGCAGTTTATAGTGTTGATGTCAAAATTTCAAATACCCAGCTTGCCTTTTGAATAATAATAATTGAAGCAAAGTATTGTCTATTCGACATTATTCAAAGCTTTCAACGTTTAAACGTGAAAAAAACGTTTAAATCTTCATTTTCCCTAGCTTACAGCGTGCTTTTTGCTCAAAAAGTGTAAACGCAATCTTTCTAGCGTGCTGGTTTCTTCATTTTTCGTTTCTTTTCGTTTCTTTTTGTTTCTTTTCGTTTCTTTTCGTTTCTTTTTGTTTCTTTTTGTTTCTTTTCGTTTCTTTTCGTTTCTTTTCGTTTCTTTTTGTTTCTTTTCGTTTCTTTTTGTTTCTTTTTGTTTCTTTTCGTTTCTTTTCATCGTTTCGTTTCAAAAATAGGTTTTTTATTATGTTTGATCAAAGAAAATCGGATTTTCTTTGAAAACAAACGTGAAAACAACAACAAACAAACAAACAAAAGTGTTTTTTGTTGAATTTTCCTTAACAAGAGTGTAACAAGTCACCAATTAACCTACTCTAAATAATGTTTACTCTAAAAATAATGTTTATTATTCAATTTTCCTCTTTTTAACTCAATTTTGGGTTTATTTTCAAGAAAATTCAAGAAAATTCACAAATTTTTGCATTAAAAACAATCGGCTAAATGAATTGGATGAAATTAAACGGAAAATTTGACTCTATGAAAAATATGAATGGCTATGAATGGCTATGAATATCTATGAAGCTTTTTATACTTTATCTTTCATCTATTGACATCTATTGACATCTATTGACACCGAGAATTGATTTGTTTAAGGTAAAAGTGGAAAGGGAATTTGTCGAGTCGCTTGTCGACTCGAATTTGTCGTCGAGTCGACTTTTCCTCGATCACCAGACAGATTTTCGATTTCGAGAAAGAAATCGCGAAATTTTGCTATTGATTGTTCTATTGATTGTTCTAGTGATTGTTCTAGTTACTGTTCTAGTGATTGTTCTAGTTATTCTCCTAGTGATTGTCCCAGTGATTGTCTTAGTGATTGTTCTAGTGATTGTTCTAGTGATGGGTCTAGTGATTGTCCTAGAGATTGTTCTAGTGATGGTTCTAGTGATTGTTCTAGAGATTGTTCTAGTGATGGTTCTAGTGATTGTTCTAGTGATTGTTCTAGAGATTGTTCTAGTGATTGTTCTATTGATTGTTCTATTGATTGTTCTATTGATTGTTCTATTGATTGTTCTAGTGATTGTTCTAGTGATTGTCTTAGTGATTGTTCTAGTGATGGTTCTAGAGATTGTTCTAGTGATTGTTCTATTGATTGTCCTAGATTGTTCTAGTGATTGTTCTAGTGATGGTTCTAGTGATTGTTCTAGTTATTCTCCTAGTGATTGTTCTATTGATTGTTCTATTGATTGTCCTAGATTGTTCTAGTGATTGTTCTATTGATTGTCAATATAAACTAGGACAATCAATAGAACAATCAATGGAACAATCTCTAGGGCAATCAGTTCTAGTTCTAGTTATTCTCCTAATTATTGTTCTATTGATTGTTCTAGTTGTCCTAGTGATTGTCTTAATGATTGTTCTAGTTGTCCTAGTGATTGTCCTAGTCATTGCCCTAGTTGTCCTATTGTCCTATTGTCCTATTAATTGCCATTCCCTCATCACAAATCTCACCATAAAACTACCTGGATTCGGGCCTAAAGTAGTCCTTTTTGGCACAACCAACGGCCCAGCATCGCCGTGATTAATCGACTGTGACATTGGCGAGTTTAAAGGGCTTTCCCGTGATTCTCGACTCTTCGTTGTTGAAGAAGAAAACCATTTCTTTTTCAACGCAAACGACCATCGCTGGCGTCTAGATGAGCCGTCTTTTGGGTTCTGTGCTGGAGTTGAGTTCAACGGTCGTGGATTTGGATTTGTTTCATTTTGAGTTTCTTGATCAACGGATACAGTGCGCGAGCGTCGAATTTTAAGGCTCAATCCGCGGAGAATCGTTGGCCGCGTCGTGGCCGACGGTTGACTTGTCGACGGCAGTTTGACAATCGATTTTGAATCGTTTCTAGTGGGAATTTCGATAGTAAGGAAAGGATTTTGAGTTCTTGAATTCGCTTTGTTTTGTGGAGTCGTTATTTGAAAGGATTTCCCTTTTTCCGATCTCTGGAAATGGTTTTAAAGTTGAGAATTTTGAAAAAAACAAAAAATTAACGATTTGAACACATTGGCGACTTTATTCGACGAATTCAAAGCAATCAAAGCGATCAAAGCAATCAATCGCAATCCAGAAACAAATCCTATTGAAATCTTAACTCTAAAATCATTCTAAAACAATTCAAGAAAGGAAATCGTAAGAAATCATACAAAAACATATCTAGAAGTTGAAAAACTTTAGAATTTGACGTATCAGAGCTGCTCAAAAGAAGCTCAAGTCAAGAATCATGGCTTAAAACTGGCCCAACTCCATTTCCCCAGAGATTTCCAAAAGGCAATTGCTAAAAAAACAAAGAGATAATCTGTAAAGAAGGAGAGAGTTTTGAGGAAACGTTTTAGGAAACGAGGAAACGTTTGATCTTTGTGAAAATTGACTTTATTTATGGCTTATTTTCATTGAGCCGAGCTATAGGCTTGGGCTTAGGCTTAGGCTCAGGCTCAGGCTCAGGCTTAGGCTTAGGCTTAGGCTTGGACTTAGTGCGAAGGCTAGCGGCTAAGCCTGAGCCTGAGCCTGAGCCTGAGCCTAAGCCTAAGCCTCGCCGTCTCACCCCGAGAAAGCTCGTTTTAACAATTTTCAGCCTAGTTAAAAAAGAAAGCGCTTTGCCGCTAGCTGAAGTCAAACTTGGATCCCTGCTCGCGACCGCTTCTAAGCTCTAACCGACTGGGCTGTAGAAGCTATGGAGATCCAGCTTTTTCTGATGCTTTACTGTTATACCTCGAAAATCTACTTTTTACTATGAAAATCTAGAAGTACAATAATAATAATCTAGAAGTACGTTTACAAGAGTCATTCATTCAAGTTCGACAAGGATTAATGGCTCTAACATTTGTGAACCTTATTGATGTCAAATCAATAGGGCCTGAGCCTGAGCCTGAGCCTAAGCCTAGCCAAACCCAAGCTAAGCCTAAGCCAAGCCTAAGCCTAAGCCAAGCCCAAGCTAAGCTAAGCCAAGCCTAAGCCTAAGCCTAAGCCTAAGCCTAAGCTAAGCCTAAGCCTAAGCCTAAGCCAAGCCTAAGCCAAGCCTAAGCCTAAGCCAAGCCTAAGCCTAAGCCAAGCCTAAGCTAAGCTAAGCCGAGCCTAAGCCAAGCCTAAGCCTAGCCAAACCCAAGCTAAGCCTAAGCCAAGCCTAAGCCTAAGCCAAGCCTAAGCCAAGCCTAAGCTAAGCTAAGCCAAGCCTAAGCCAAGCCTAAGCCTAGCCTAAACCAAGCCTAAGCCAAGCCTAAGCCAAAGATAAGCTAAGCCAAGCCTAAGCCTAAACCTATTTAGAGCCTTCATAACTTTCTGCTAGAAAGTGCATCAGAGAGGATGTGTTTCCATTGAAAGCTAGAGCACAAAGTACACTAGAAAGATAAAAAAACATCTCAGAAAAAAGAAAAGAAAAAGAAAAGAAAAAGAAAAGAAAAGATATTCAGTTATAAAAGCAAAGAAATTGTTAAAATTGTTCAAATTTCTCTCAAAAACTCAAATTTCTATATCAAAATGTTAAAAATATGAAAAAATCACTTGAATTCATGTGAAAAATCGGTGAATTTCACTGAATCGTTGAAAATTTGTGAATAGAAAGCGAGAAATTCGATTCATCGTCTTGAAAAAGAAAAAGCAAAAGAAAAAGAGGTATTTCAATAAAGTTTCATAAGAAAAAAGCCCCTCTAAAACCCTCCAAAATGCAATTTTTAAAAGTGATTTTGTTTAGAAATCAAATGCGCAATTGATTGATTGAATGTTTAGAGAAATTTAGCTTTAGAAACGCTTGAAAAGGCTTTAAAAGCTTTAAAAAGCCTTAAAAAGCCTGTAAGAGCCTTAAAAAGCCTGTAAAAGCCTGGAAAAGCCTTAAAAAGCCTTTAAAAGCCTTAAATTTAGCCTTAAAAAGCCTGTAAAAGCCTGTAAAAGCCTGTAAAAGCCTTAAAAAGCCTTAAATTTAGCCTGTAAA